AACATCATTTTGTTATTGTGTTTAGTAAACGTTGGTAGTTGAAGCAGGTAAAGGGCGCCACCGAATGTCTGAAATGCTGTGTGCATTTAGCAAATGAATGTGTGGTAAGCTCCCCTACCAGTCTTGAGGAAGCCTGCGTTCAAACAAGCGGGCAAAAGTGTCAACAGTATTTTCCCACATCACGCTGTCCTGGTACAGTGACTTGATATCAGGTGTCACACTGTATTAAATGGCGGTTGAATCAGGCTGAAAACTGAAAACTTTCCCCCGTGCATTTGCAGCCTCCATGCTGCAACAGAATGAGCAGTGGCAGACTAAAAGGGAAAACGAGTGTCCATCTAGCCATGGGAACATGAGACATCCACCTCGTGGAGTCCAGACTTTAGGCAACTAAGATCTCTTGTAAGTGAGTTGGAGCTTTGAACCTTGAACCATTTGAACGTTCTACCCTACAGACTATCAGAATATCCATCTATACTACTAACCTTGATTGAGCATGTCTCCATTCTCACTAGGATGCTGCAATCAGGTTCAGCAATATATGTATAGCCCGGTCTCTGTTGAATCCGTAGCCAGGTTAATTCCATGTGGTTACTGGGCTTAAACATCTCTCCCTTATCCCTTTAGTCTGGGCTCACACAGCAGAGGAGGACAATATTTATGGTTGTCACCAGGGGCGTAGATAAGGCGGGAGGGTCGGGGGGGTTCTGAACCGCCCCCGGAGGAGAGTTGCCAACCATCCATTATAGCAGCCCTTGAAATTTCCACTCACCCCTGCCTTTTCTGCCTTCTTCCTTCTTCCTTTCACCCCTCCTTCCACCCTTCCTTCCTTCCAACCCTTTCTTCCTTCCAACCCTCCCTTAATTCTTTCCTTCCTTCCTTCCACCCCTCCCTTCCTCCCACCCCTTCCTTCTTTCCTCCCACCCCTTCCTTCTTTCCACCCACCCCTTCCCTTCCTTCCACCTCTCCCTTTCTTCCACCTCTCCCTTCCTCCCACCCCTTCCCTTCCTTCCACCTCTCCCTTCCTTCCACCCCTCCTTGCCTGCCTTCCTTCCTTCCACCCCTCCCTTCTTTCCTTCCTTCAACCCCTCATTCCACCCCTCCCTCCCACCCCTTCCTTTTTTATCATACTGTGGCTATTTCTTCCCAGCTGACAGTATTCCCTATGCCCTTTCCTGACCATCCATTCCAGTCCCCTTGATAGCCATCTATTTTACTCTCCTTCCCCTTCCCTCATGCTAAACAAACCCCCCCCCCCCCCTTTTTTAATTTTTTTATCCCTTTACAGTCCAGGATCCCTTAGTTTCACTCCATTTCTTCTCTACCCGCACCTATGGTTCCTAGTCTCACACCCCCACCCTCCACCCCCATTTTCTGCAGGGGTTAAGGAGGCGGACAGTTGCGTGGTCATGCAACACTGTAACTACAGTATATGAGATTTCTATCCTTTTTTCACACATATAGAGCTTTCTTTTGGTGGTATTTTATCACCACCATTTTATTTTTTGCTAAATAAAAAAAAAAACATTTTTCTTTGTATCTGTTATACAATTTTGCAAATAAATAATCTCTTTATAAATTTAGGTAAAACTGTATTCTGCTGCAGAAAATAACCCAAATTAGTGTATATTGTTTACTTTGTAGGAAAGTTAGAGTCCACAAACCAGGGGCGGACTGACAACTCATGGGGCCCCTGGGCAATAGGGGATCATGGGGCCCCTGTGCCCTTGCCCAAACTCAAAAGAGACTATGAAAAAGGTACCAGGGGCATCTCATGGGGCCCCCTACTGACCCCGGGCCATCGGGCAGTGCCCGAGTTTCCAAATGGTCAGTCCGCCCCTGCCACAAACTATGGTATATATCTGAAAATCAATCCTTCCTGATGTACTGATAGCCGATCTCATTTCAAGTCCAAAAACAACAGGACAGTACAAACACCACCCAAATGCCAGGAGAGTACAAATACCCCCAAAATGTCAGGACAGTACAAATACCCCCCCCCCCCATGGCCTCTTTTTGGAAAGTCGACATTTTTACATACTGTCACCAGTGCAGTGCAGCGTCATGATGTAACTGGTGTGGCAGTGATGAGGGATTCTGACTGGTGACACGTAAAAACAAAACAAAAAAAATTTTAATTATTTTTTTCAATTTTTTTTTTTTTTTTACAATTTTTTTTTAACACACTGACCACAGCAATATACTGTTATCATAATAACATTGTACTACTCTGGAAAATGACACATTATGAATTTCACTGTTATAAACAACCATTTTTACTGAATGAAATTGGTTCATTCAATGTTTACTATTGTGGCTAGTTGTGGTTGGCTGTGCCTGTACCATGTAATTGCTGTTACCAATCACAGAGATCAACACAATAGTATACAAGAGATGGCATGAATGAATTCCATCCATTATGCATAATTTTCATGGGATTTGCTGTGACTGGTCACAGAGATCACATGGTAACAGCAGCAGCCAGTACACTGTCTAGAGGACACAGCGGGTGGCAGATCTCGACGCAGTGAGGCTCTTTCCGGAAGGACATCATATAGTGTCCACCTGGAATGGTGAATGCCCACCCAGCCATCATTTGACTATAGGCCGAGCAAGTGGTTAATGTTAACTCTTCACCTCTTTAACCCCTAAAAACCTGCACCACAACCGCAAGTCGCGTTTGATGGGTGTTACTGCCTGCCCACTGAGTGCAACAGGATTTATAGCTGTTGCCCTCGTCAACTGCCTTTAGAGCTCAAGGGGGAGACGTTGGTGGGGGGGGTTTAGGGCATTAAAAATGCAGCTCAGCTGTGAGCTGAACCCCCCCCCCCAGAAAAAAAAAATGATCTACAGCCCTGGTTGTCACTGCTTTAATGCGGTGTATATATTATAAGCCAGTTGGCTTAGAGTTAATTAAAGAGACATATATGGACCTTGCTTAAACCCAAAGGCTATCCAATTCATTGCAAATGAGCTAAGCTGATTGTAGCTTCAACGTGCCGCTTTGAACTTTCTAACCAGCTAGCAATGATTTACTAACATCAACTCCCTTAAAAATGCTGATCTGATCTCCATGTCAATATCTTCCCCCAATTTGAAGGCCATAACCATGATTATATGAACCAGTTAAGATACAAATATTATAATATAGGGTGAGGGGTGGAGATCATAAAGGTTCAAAATGTACCCCTAAGGATGAAAGAGTCAAAGACTTCAAAGATCAGACTATGTCAAAAATTGATAATTAAGGTAACACTGTTGCTACAGCAGAATCAGGGGCGGACTGACCATTTTTGGAAACTCGGGCAGTGCCCAAGGGCCCGGGGTCAGTAGGGGGCCCCATGAGATGCCTCTGGTACCTTTTTCATCGGCTTTTTTGAGTTTGGGCAAGGACACAGGGGCCCCATGATCCCTTATTGCCCAGGGGCCCCATGAGTTGTCAGTCCGCCCCTGAGCAGAACCATAAAAAAGAGGACAAAATACTATCAAGTCCACTAGCTCACCAAGTAAGGTGTGGATCACTGAATCCCAAAAAAAAGGACAACAATAAAAAGATTTTATGGAAAGAACCCTAAGAAAAGGAGACAATGTGTGTGATCCAGGTAGTTTGACTAATATAACAAATTTTATTGAAGAACCATAGGATCAGGACCAGGTGGGTTACAAACAAGAGAGGTTCTGTAGGTTTGTTCTTAAGTTGAATTTGTATGAAAGTTGAAACAGGTACATTTTTTAAGTGTAACTCCAGCCAAAAAATAATCTTTAAGTTTTTAGGATAGCATAGGGAAAGGTTAACACCCCTGTAACGTTTATTTGTTACTGTCTGTGCCCTTGTTCAGAAGATTTCACCTCACTTTCTGTCCCTGTGACAATTGGATTTTGAAAATTTTGGGTTGTCATGGAAACAAGGATTGGTGATAAAGCTTCAGTGGAGACACCTTTTTCCATGACAACTCTTACAGAGGTGAATTTTCCTTCCTCAAGGTAGATTTCCTCTCACTTCCTGTTGCCTCCCTCTGTAAGTATGATTTGCATGTACATTGGATGTATGTAATTTGGGGACTGCCTGTAAGTGATTGTACATTACTGACTGGCCTATTCAAGGCTTTGCATATCTTTTTATATCATTTTCCATCTTTCTAATACCTTATTACACAGGTCTTTTCTCAGTTCTTTTCTGCTCCCCATAGCTCAGTATCTAGCCTTCTCAGTGCATCCACATGTGAGCTAACAAACTAATTGGCTATTTATACACTGACACTAATTGCAATTTAAAAAGCCACAGATGTGAGAAATTAACCTTTAACTGACATTTTAACCCGTGTGTGTCTGTACCAAGGCCAAACATTCCAGGGAATGGAAACTTTTGATCAGAGTCATTTGGGTGATTTCTGTTATTATGATTTAACCTCCCTAGCGGTCTGATTATGTCCATATTTCTGTGCTCAAAGCGGTGCACTTTTTTGCATGGAAATATGTTTTTTTTTTTGTTGTAGGCCTGTAATTTATAGGAATAACTCACTGAAATCTGTCCGAACAAAGAGTCTAGTAAACATCCCGGGTAGGATAAAATTTGAAACATGAAATCATAAATTATAATTTTAATCATAAAAAAATAATAATATAATATAATAACAAATTTAATTCAATAATATAATCAAACCAAAAACACTGAAATTTGAAATATAGCGCCAAGTTCGCACATCACTGAGCAAAGTCGCAAAATCGTTTTCAGTGTCTGATGACAAATTTCCCCCCGAAATCATTATCACTCAATTCCTGCAAGTGGTTCTGATTTACTATCGCTGTTCTCTATCTGGTCTAAAACCGCTTTTGACCTAAAGGGATGCTTTTTGGACACCATGGACCTTTCTCAGTTTCCAGGCAGAAAGAACAGTAAAAATGCAGGCAGGGCGCCGGACAAAGCACTCGGGACAAAATGTATGTGAAATGGTTTGATACAGGAATGTTTTACTATGTGATTTTAGTGAATTTAGTGAATGTCACTTTTTGTCATTTTTCATATTTCCCGCCAGTTCCATCCCCCGTACGTCCCGACGACACAGGGGACGGAACAGTCTGTATGGTGGTGGTTGTCCGTCAGCATACAGATGCCGGCATCCGCCGGAGGACATTGCTGGGGACACTGCAGGAGTGACATTGCGGGAGCGCAGGACAAGGTAAGTGATCGAGGGATTGCGGAGCAGCGCCGCATGGTAAGCCCGAGTGTAGCTCGGGGTTACCGCTTGTGGTGCTAAAACTTTACCCCGAGCTACACTCGGGAATACCGCCAGGGAGGCTACTAAGGAGCTAAACAACTATGTGATAATAAATGGCTTCATATAATCACTATCCTTAAATAAAAGACAGTTTTTTGGCATGATCAGTCATATTTTCAATATCAATGCCAAAATTGTATCATTTCTGCCAGGGTATGCAACGTTTTGAGCACAAGTGTAGGATATGCTGACCCAGGATGGTACCTGAACAAAGATGACCCTGTCTTATTGAAGAGAAAAGCAGATGAAGACATGAGGGAGTATTGTGATCTCTGTGAAAGGTAATAAATACTTGAAAGCGTTACTCTTACAAATGAAAATCTTGCCGCTGAACAATGCAAAGGCAACCTTGAATTATATGAATATCGGAAGACAGAAAGAGAAGATAATGAAGCTCGTTGCATTTTATTTGTTCACATTTAGGAATAATGTAAAAGAACAAGATGTCAGTAGCACGTAATTTTTTTTTTTTATTCTCGTTCCCGGTTTTGCTATCAGAAGCTTGGTTTTCCGACACACTTTCCAGCTCCGTAGAGGGTTGTTGATTTGCAGAAGCTTCTTCTTAATGCCGGTCTGAGCTGTGATGAGTATTTCATGCTCTCCCAAATACCTAATTTATTTTTATATTTCTAGCACAGAGAAGTGTTTGCTCATAAACAGCTCGTTGGTTTTTATACCCGGCACACAAGCTGTAATCTCCAGACGTCCATCCCAGCTTTGCTTTTCTCACCCAGTGATCCTTCTCCCGCAAATGGCAAGGTTTTTTTTCTGAGGTGCTCAGAAATATGAGAAGGCTAGATCATCTTTTGCTGTAAGTCAAGGATCGCCCTTAGCATGCAGTGGCAGTTTTTAATATATTAAAGTGTATTTAATAAAATAGTAAATAGTGTATAGTAATATAGTATATAGTATAGTAATAGTAAAATGTAAAAAAAATTGATATGAAATTTATCACAAGTGCAACCAATGAATGGGGGTGCTTGTGTGGCATAGTTGCCAACAGTCACGGATTGCCCGGGACATTCACGGAAATCAGGCAGATGTCCCGGGCACAATCACAAAAAATCGTCCTGAACAGCAAAACAGTTTGGCACAGGGGTGGACTGACCATTTGGAAACTCGGGCACTGCCCAAGAGCCCAGGGTCAGTAGGGGGCCCCATGAGATGCCCCTGGTACCTTTTTCATAGGCTTTTTTGAGTTTGGGCAAGGACACAGGGGCCCCATGATATGCTATTGCCCTGGGGCCCCATGAGTTGTCAGTCCGCCCCTGTTCCTGTTTGGCACTGACAAACCGGGTAAGCAAAGGTTAATTTTCAGCAAGTCAGATCCTCCCCCCAGCTCTTTTACTTGCAGGAGGTCACATGGTGTCCTTCTCTTGCATGACTGGTTGGTACTAGCAAGGGGGCGTGGCTAACAGAGGGTGATCATTTTCTTTTAGCACGTGGAGAGGAAGAGGAGGCTGCTGCTGGACAGGCCAATGAACAGGATGGAAACACTCTCAGTTGTTGGCAGACTGCAGACAGGACCAGAGACAAACACAGGAGGCTGCTAGAGACCTGAGCAGACAGAGGACCGAGGAGCCAGAGGGCCCAAAGCCAGCAGAGGAGACAAGTAGATGGCTGATGTCCTTCCTTTTGCCAGCCCCACAAAAAAAAAAAAATACAAAAAGAATAGGAAGGACATCAGCCATCTACTTGTCTCCTCTGCTGGCTTTGGGCCCTCTGGCTACTTGGTCCTCTGTCTGCTCAGGTCTCTAGCAGCCTCTTGTGTTTGTCTCTGGTCCTGTCTGCAGTCTGCCAACAACTGAGAGTGTTTCCATCCTGTTCATTGGCCTGTTCATCAGCAGCCTCCTCTTCCTCTCCATGTGCTAACAGGAAATGATCACCCTCTTCTAGCCACTCCCCCTTGCTAGTACCAACCAATCATGCAAGAGAACGGCACCATGTGACCTCCAGCAAGCAGAGGAGCTGGGGGGGAGGATCTGACTAACTGAAAATTAACCTCTGTTTACCTGGCTTGTCAGTGCCAAACTGCTTTGCTGTTCAGGATGATTTTTCATGATTTTGCCTGGGACATGCTCTGAGCGGGACATCTGTCTGATTTCCGTGAATGTCCCCGGCAATCCGTGACTGTTGGCAACTGAATGGGACGCCATTAGCGGGTATACAGAGGAGATTTTCCTAAGCACTGCCACACTAGTCCCAGGGTCACTAGACCAGTGTAAGCCAGCATCAGTGTTCCTGATCACTGCTACTTAACCCCTTCGTGCCGGTGCCTCCCGGCCCTTTAAGGGTTTCAGAAGCCGGGATGTCCATATGTCTTTTTTAATAGAACTCAAATGTGCGGCTGCTCGGCGTCTAGGCCCAGACGCCGAGAGGCCGCACATTGGCGTTCAGCCTGCGCGAAGAGGTTAAGTCCCACTGTCACCAGATCAGTGCAACCAGCAACAGTGTTCATGATCCCCCCACGCCAGTGCAGTGTTGCCTCTGTCTGCCGCCTGTACTAACTCTGGCTTGTTTATTGACCTCATTTCTGTTTGCTGCCTGGACCAGTATTTACCGGAAAGGAAGTGAAGGAATATTAAAAAGGAACAAAGACAGTTATAAATAACTGAGAGGAGTTAAAACCTACCCCTGCTCTACTGAAAGGGCCAGTTCACACCATGGAACCGTCCCGATGCGTTTCTGTATGTGCATTTTTTATGCATTCCGATGTGTTTTTATGCATTCCGTTTCATTTTTCTCCCGTTCTTTTTCTTCAAATTAATAAGGACATGCGCGTTCTGGTGCATTTGTGGTGCCTTTTGTATGTGTGTTTTACTGCATTCCAGTACACTTCAGTGCAGAAAAAATGCAGCATGTTCTACTTTTTTATTCTGGAATGCACTGGAACTGACCGCACTGGTGTGAACTATGCCATTGGAAACCATGTAACCTACTATCAATACATTTTTGATGCAAGAAAAAAAAACGCACTGGACTGCATGTGGTGTGAACTGGTCAAAAAAATAAAAAATATTTCTCTGTGTTGCTGTTGGAGATTTTCCCTCACTACAACTGCCAGTAGTTCTTACTAATACTTGGAAAGGGTTAAAGTGGAATTCCAGTTAGTTTTTTTTTTTTTTATTATTATTATTATTATTTATGTTACCCTCTAATTTAATTCAATTTCTGCTTACTCTCTCATTGCTCTAGCACTGTCCCCAGCATTCTCCTTGGTATAGCGCAGTACTTTTCAGGCAGAAGAACTGTTAAGTCCCGTGAGCCCAATATGTCATTTTCATGCCCCCTAAGGGGGCACTTCATCACCCAGACTGAGCCCACTGTCTCACACATCAATAGTGCAGGAAGAATACTCGACACCCATTTCCACCAGTAAGAGAAGAAAAGGATGCCGTGACATCACTGGACAAACTAGAAGACTCCAGGATAAGGGTTGTTTTTTTTTTTTCAATAAAAAATATTGGGCAGGTGGAGGAGGTTAATCGTTCATAGTTCCACTTTAATAATTCAAAATTGAGAGATTTAAAGCCCGGACTCTGCCAGACTTTTAATTTTTAGTCATGAGAAGCATGGGTAAGGTTTGGAACTCCTATCGGGTTTTTACTGCTGTCTCTATCCCTGTCAGGGTTGCCAACCACCCATAAATTTACGGACAGTGTGGAAAAATTGACTGCCCATTGAAAATATGATAAAACGAATGGTGCAGTACCTCGTGCAAGCAATCCTATACAAATTATTATTATAAATATATATTATAAATGAAATACATTTCTAAAACAAGGATCAGGGCCCTCCTTTCCCTCTTGTATTGAACTGTAGTGTTGCTGTATTGTCTCCCGTTATATTGTAAAGCGCTGAGCAAACTGTTGGCACTATATAAATCCTGTATTATAATAATAATAAATAATAATAATAAATAATAATAATAAAACAGAGATTGCAACTCGTCTCTGTGTACACAAAAAAACATCAACCAATATAGCTATGACAATTCCAGTCCGTGATCTGTGCCTTAATAATACTTTGGTGTCTTCCACCTTAATAAAGAGACTGTACAACGTGCAGGTATAACCGTCGGTGCCACTACTTCTCCCCCCAAAATGAACTCACCAGACAATAAGCTGCAGGTAAACGCAGCAGAGACAACGTGATATAAATCAAATCCAAACTCTATATAGCAATCACCAGCAGTATTCACTCCTCACCACCAGGGAGCGACCATCTGGGTAGGATGTGGTATGGCTGCCGTCCGAAAATAGGTGAGACCCCTGAAGACGTGCTTTTGCATGAAATGTTATCAATGAAAACCCAAAATGACCAAAATGGATCAGATAGAAGCAAATATCAACTTTCTATACCCTTTTCCTGTTGAAGCCAAGTTTGTTTCCTAGCCTGCCCGCCAAGCCCCTCTGTTGGTCGTGAAGCCGCTCGACACACTAATGGACCAATAGTGAGGCTCAAATAGTGTGGAAGGGTGGGTCCAAGTTTGAGTTTACAGGAACAATCCACATCTGCATATACACTATATTGCCAAAAAGTATTGGTCGGCCTGCCTTTACACGCACATGAACTTTAATGGCATCCCAGTCTTAGTCCGTAGGGTTCAATATTGAGTTGGCCCCGCCCTTTGCAGCTATAACAGCTTTAACTCTTCTGGGAAGGCCATCCACAAGGTTTAGGAGGGTGTCTATGGGAATGTTTGACCATTCTTCCAGAAACGCATTTCTGAAGTCAGGCACTGATATTGGACGAGAAGGCCTGGCTCGCAGTCTCCGCTCAATTCATCCCAGAGGTGTTCTATTGGGTTGAGGTCAGGACTCTGTGCAGGTCAGTCAAGTTCCTCCACCCTAAACTCACTCATCCATGTCTTTATGGACCTTGCTTTGTGCCATGGTGCGCAGTCATGTTGGAACAGGCAGGGGCCATCCCCAAACTTTTCCCACAAAGTTGGGAGCCTAAAATTGTCCAAAATGTCTTGGTATGCTGATGCCTTAAGAGTTCTCTTCACTGGAACTAAAGGGCCAAGCCCAACCCCTGAAAACAACCCCATACCATAATTCCCCCTCCACCAAGCTTTACACTTGGCACAATGCAGTCAGGCAAGTACTGTTCTGGCAAACCCAGACACATCCATTGGATTGCCAGATTAGTCACTCCAGAGAACA